GGGCTGCAGAAAAGGTCACTGGTGTGAGCCTGCCCTCCATGGAGGACCTGTACACCTCATGGGTCAAAAGGAGGGCTGAGAGGATCACTGCAGACCCCTCACACCCTGGACGCAACCTGTTCGAACTCCTCCCCTTTGGACGGCGTTACAGGTCACTGTGCACCAACACCCAGGCACAGGGACAGTTTCTTCCCCCAGGCTGTCACTCTGATGAACACTTGACCCATGACAGTATGTCTGGACAATAACCCTCAGTGTAATACCTGTAAATATACCTTGTACAGATTATACAGATCCGTACAGGTCTCTATTTTTAAGTATTCTATTTTTATTCCTATTTATCTCATTTCAGTGAGCATTCCTTTGTTTGTCTGCATTGTTTACTGCCTGTTTATACTGCTTATTTTGCATTGTTTGCACTGTTTGTTGATGTTAATATGGCTAATTTGTTATATTACACAGCCTTATGCTGGTTTACTGTTTACTTGCCCCATGCATGAGAATATGTACATGCACATTGAGAGCCAATGTACCAGAGTCAAATTCCTCGTGTGTCCGACACACCTGGCCAATAAAGCAGATTCTGATTCTGATTCTAAATACAACACAGCCATCATTAATGTTATTAATAACACCTGTGCTTTTCCTCCTGTCACAACTCAAAATGTTGTAATGGTCAGGTCTGTCATTATTTTGGCATGACAGTGACAGTTGTTTGTTCTAAGTGTGAGCTTGGGCAGGTTGCATACAAGAATGGAAAGGAAAACAAATAAGTGTTAAACTTTAGCTTTATTTTTTAGGCATGTACAGTATCTGGTTCGTATTACCATTGCTAACTCTGAGAGACGAGGCAATCCAAGTAACTTCAAAACAATGCTGATTTATTCAAAGGATCAGGTAAAATTAACATTACACGCTCAGGTATCTTGCACCTCCAACCTGCTCGCAGGCAGATGTAAGATGAAAGACCCTGAACCCAGGCCTATACATTATATCCCCTCGGTTGGGCTAGCCCCATACTACACAGAAACGTCAACCGAGACGTCTCTGTTACCAGCTTTGCAGCTGGTCATAGCAATAGTCAAAACATGAAGTAGATCAATGTGTGTGTGTCTGTTGATTAAGTGGTGTGTAGCTAAAAACATTCTCACACGACCTCTAGTGACATGTCACGACATTAAACATAAGAACATATTATGGCTAAGGCTACAGTTATACACGTCATAATAATAATATTAAACACCCTGTCTGCTGACAGTCATCAACTCTTCTCTCTAGTATCCTTGACCAGATGTACCCTGTAGAAATTCACAATCATGCCTAAGTATTTAACAGTCTAACTATACATTTCTAATACATAAAGTATCTATCCAATATCTATCTGGCTAAAAATACCTAACATATCCCTGTTTCCATGTAGTGTATAATGGAATTCTAGCTGCAGCGTGAGATGCAACTGTTCAAATGCAACTGTTGTTTTCATTAGTGATTAAACTGCTGATTATTTTCTCCGTTAATTGACCAGTTTATAAAACAGCAGTGAGAAATGCTGTCACAGTGCTCTAAACAATGGTCACAATAGTTTCTACTTTACTGTATGACAGCATAGACAGACACGAACATGTTTGTGAGCCAGGAAAGTGTGTGTGTGTGTTCAGGCCACGTCAAACCGTGACGGCACCTGATATGCCAGCTTGGCAGCTGAGCAGAGCAGTAGACAAAACATGAAGAAAATAATGTGTGTGAATGTTGATTATGTGGTGTGTATCTAAAAACACTGTAACACAACAATTCACATTAAGAAAAATATTATGGTTACTTTTACCGTCATAATAACATTTATCCCTGACTGCAGCCTTTCTCTGCTTTAACTAACCTTGCATTTAACAGCCTGAGGAAGACATCCTGGCTACACTAACATCTTCTAATACAACAGATCTCTGAATATCTATCTAACTAAGAAATAACCTAACATGACCAAAACAGACCACAGGGAGGTAGCAGAGTTATAATGGTGTGGCATACAAACTAGACAAAGAAGTTATTTATTTAATAACATAAGCTGTCATACCTTTCATACTTTTCATGAAATTTTCCTAAAATTGTTGGAATACTAAGGAATCTTGGGAATCTAAGTAAAATAAAGAGAAAGAAACACAGACAATAAAAACCATTAAAAGAGAAGAACATATCAAACTCAACTATAATCCAAAGATCATGAAAAATAATTAGCAGTGACTGTAAGTCTGCCAGATACATGGCAGATTTCATATTAACAGATAAACTGTTCCACAGTTTTGGGGCCATCACAGTCAAAAGCATAATCATAGCCCCTCCCATAAATCATTATAACTGCTGTGTGTTTTTTAACTGTTGTTGTTTGCAGTAAAAACAAAAATCAAAAACCTAAAATCCAAAACCAAAAATGGCCCCAAAAAACAAACAAACAAAAAAACAAGCCTGCATCTGGTGTCAGGAACATGAACTTCTGTAAGATTTGAAGTTTATAGGCTTCAGTCACTTTATAAGCTTTAGTTACTTTTCATACCTTTAGTTCCTTTAGTTACTTTTCAGTTCTTCATTTTGAAAGCTATTTTTCCCAGTTCTCTTAACCAGGAACTCAGAGAGACGAGGCGGTCCAAGTGGATACAAAAAATCGTGCTGGTTTATTCAAAGGATCACAGGCAAAATTAACATTACACGTCCAGGTATCTTCCACCTCCAATACTGCGCGCAGGCAGATGAAGAATGAAAGACCCCGAACCCAACAGGCCTGTACATTATATCTGGTTTGGGCTAACCCCATTCTACACAGGGACGTCAAACCATGACGTCACCTGATATGTCAGCTTTACAGCTGGCCGTAGCAAAACATGGAGAAAACTGACAATCAAACTTTTCTATCTAGTTATCTTTGCCCACGTACACCCTGCTAAAATCTCATGACAATGACTAAGCGTTTAAACTAGACATCCTGTCTCCACTAAACATTTCTAATACAACAAGTATCTAACCAATATCTATCTGACTAAAAAATACCTAACAATTTTCTTTTAGTTACTTTTCATAACTTTATTTTCCTTGCTTATACATATTACAGCTGTATCGATGATTGTTCAGAACTACTGCGCTTTGGTTACTTTTAATACCTTTATTTTCCTTGCTTATATATCTTACAATTGTATTAATGAGAGTCAAGTGATACTGAAGTAGAAACTGCCTGCTTTAACTTCTGTGTAGACCTAGTGTCCATACCTTCAGGTAACCAGACAGCCTATTTTACATTTTAACAAAGACCTTTTGGCCTGTTTTGCACCTTCGCCTAGACCTGCTTGGCATATTCCAAGTTTTGCTTTGTCATGGGGTGTCTTGCAAAGACAGGGGGGCCTGCAGCCCAGACCACCCATTGTTCAGTGTCCATTGATCAAGATCAAGCTGCCACCTGAGAAACACACACACACACACACACACACACACACACACACACACACACACACACACCTGGTTTAGGTCACACTTCAGCAAGCAGGCGCAGGCAGGGGTTGACCTGTTCACACCAAATGGCCAATAGGATTACGAAGTGTGGAATGTTGTACCTCTGTCCAGGGTGGGTCTAGCCCAAGAAGATAAATGTATTGAAAACACGTAACTCATGGCTCAGAGAACAGATTTCTTGCGGGAGCTCTGTCTCTCTGATCCCAGCGCTGTATGGCTTCACCTGTGCCCAGACTTTGAGTAAACTTCCTGTTGATTTTAAACAGTCCTCTCCTGTCTTCACTTCTTGCACTTTCAATAAAAGAATTTGGGTAAAATCTAACACTTCATAGAAAAAAGGATGGAATAAATGTGGAGTTACAGCAGAATAAATGTTTCACCCAAGGGGCGATCTTCCGGAACTGGTCAGGCTGAAATAACTTTCCACTAGCAGCTAAGCAAATAAACAAATAGGAAGTGAAGAAAGAAACTGTGACTGCTATGAATTTACATTCATTTGCTGTGATTATTAGGCTTTCAATACATTTCAACGTTTATATGATAATAAAAAAAAAAAAACGTTAAAAAAACAATTTCACAATAACTGGTTGTGAAAAATTAACTGTTGTTCCGTCTGTCTCAAAAAAGACACTTCATTCTCTTGTTTCAGGTATAGTAACAACTTCCTAATTAGACATTAACCTGGTAACCAAACAAATAACAAATAAGTCAGCAACACAGTATTTTACAGACTGTTGGGGATTGAATGCAACAAAAATCCAGCAAATCTATTGGATTAAATCATCATAAAGAAGAAACATACTAATAGGAGCCAATTTTTTTTTTCATAAAACATTAAGTTTGATGTCAGAACAGAAATACTGGACAATTTGTTCTATTACAACAAGACAGTCCTTGGTCTTGAATTAACCTTAGTATTTATTATTTGTTACATATTGATGTAACACTGAATAGATACTGTATGTTGGCAGTATCTATGTAGAGGCCCTTCTGTGAGTGGGGGCGTCCTCTAGCGGTGATGCAGAGGGACAGAGCTTCGAACAACATTCACAGAAAATAAAACGGGAAAACAGAAACATCTGCATTCAAAATAAAAATAGCTGAAAAAGGATTGAAATTTAGTGAGTGCACCTTCAATGACTACATGTATAGTATGTTTATAGGTATTAAATCCAGAATTGTAGTATGCTATCAAATTACACTGTTTAATATATGGTAATTATAGATGTATAGTAAAGGTACATTAGATATATTAGTAGGCTATAAAGCCCAAAAGGGGTTTTAGCCTATTGAAGTGAGATATTTCTTTTGAAAGTATTTAAATCCGTGGTAGCTACATAAAACCCCAACATAATATTAGCTTATTACAAAAGATGTCTTTTATTGAACATGCTTGGATGACATAAGTTCAAAAGAGTTTTTTAACCACTTAGCGTAAGCTGGGGATTTATTTTGAAGGTCAATCCCGGAAACGATTCGCGTTACTTTGTGATGCTTAACACTATTTGGTTTGGGCAGTAGCAGCGACGCTTTGCAGGTTTACGTCTCTGGTTTTTTCTCAGTTAGAGCGAGGAAGAGGTCCGTACAGACGCAGCTCGGATGCCGTTGTATTTCGAGCTGTCGAACTATTCCCACATGCGGTTTTAATATAAGCTGCATACGTTTTTCTGTGGAGGACGGTTTAGTGGAATGAGTTGCAGGGGAAATCTACTGTGACTTTCGTCGGAGGAGGAGGTGTCTACCGGTGCCAACGGGGCAAATAGTTGCTGCTGCTGCCGCTGTCTGTCTGTGCTGCTGTCTGGCGGATTCAGGGAGCGTGTTACTTCTTCTATGTTGCCTCGGAAATAACAACAGCGCCAAGGTAAACAGGGTTAAAAATACTCTGGGTTTATTTTAATTGTATCCTAACATAACAGCGATTTGTTGATATAATAACCTGCTTTTGTAGAGGTTTTTTTTTTATATTTAAAACTAAGTTCATGCTGTAAGTACTATTCGGGAATTTTTCCCTTTTGTGGTTTCCTTTTAACTGTTCAATATGTAGTTGCCTGTGGCACTCAGAAATGAGTATGTAGTGACAACAGTGTAGTTTATAGTGTTTTACGTGTTATGATTTACAACAAGAAACATATAATACTCAAGTCTGAAAATGTGCTGGCTTCCAAATCCATTGTTCATAGTTATTTTTGGGTGTTGGCTTATGTTGTTTTGAAAAGTGTTGGTGATGTGTGTGCTTTAATAATGCTTTCCACTGAAGCATCATTATTCATGGCATCTTAAATGTATATTTAGATTTAAAGTGACCAGCTACGGGCTTTTGTTGCACCTCTCCTCATTAACATGGAAGGAATTCATCTGTTTAATTCATCTGTTCATCTGGTCACTTCCCAATAGAAGATGACAGCCAGAAGGAAGAGAGATGTTAGGACTGTTAAAAAGCTGAAAGCAGCGAGGTCCTACAGAGGCAGAATAAAGTGAATGTGTGACTACAAACATATAGGTATGTTGAGTAGGGCTTGAAAAACAGACACCAGAATGCATTCAGCACAATTCTGATAGAACATAAAGAGCCCATTTCTTGTTATTGCTCACACACATTACTGACAGGCTGCATAGGATCCATTGATTAATTAGCATCCCACCATTTCATCTCCTGGAGAGCATGAGGATGAAAGCCTAATAAATACAGCTGGCCTCGATGACTCCGCATTGTAGCCGAGAACCTACAGGCATTAGTTTAATCAGAGAAATGGAGGCAGGAAGGAAGGCGAGGATGGAGGGAGCAAGGAGATGTCAGAAGATAAGATAAGGCCAGAAGGAGGAGGAGGAGGAGGAAGGCTAACTCGGGAGGAGGGTAACTGCAGGGACAGTGCTGGAGCTGGAAAGCAGTAGCGGAGCCAGTAGCCATCCCAGGTCCCTGGAGAACAGCTGCTGGTGCTGGGGCCAGGCTCCCACCTGATTTGCAAGGCCACTTACTGCACACACAGGGCCATACGCAGGCCTTATTGTGCTGTGTTTTTGCTTCTTTGTCAGTGAGTGATGTGTACCTTATGTGTGTACTTATCGCCTTGAGAGAGAGAAGTAATAAATGTGCACCATGTGATTCTGTGTACGCATTTGTTGCTATGTTCCTATGGGACGGAAGTGATAGATGTGTATGATTGACTTCTGTGATACATGCTCTGTCCTGGGAGGGAAGATCTCAGGCTTGGAGGTGCAAAGTGGTAATAATTCCCAGTTACAGCTGGTATGTGCACGCACACACACGTCCACAAACACACACACTTATTTTGCAAGTATGAGAGCAGCATGATCCTAGAAGATGTGATTTATGACTTGGTATGTGCCTGAGCAAACATGAAACCTCAGCGGCTTTTCTGATTGGTTCAGAACATTTAGATTATAGAACATTATATAACAACTAGAGAAATGCATTTCCTGTTGAAAATGCATGTGGATGCTATGTGCTGAAGGATCGCCCTTAAAAATGCTGAACACCTGAAAGGCGTATCTACCCGAAAGTATGCTGAAGTACAATTTTCCCATTAACTTTATTGGAGGGAAATTTTCTAGATAAAGCTAAATATTTCAGAAGTGTGAAGTGTATAAAAATTCTGAGTCAAAGCATGAATGTCCTGGGAGACTTGAACATTTTGATACCTGAAAGTATGCTTAAGTAGAATTTCCCCATTCATTTGAAAGGGTCAAACCTTTCAGAATAAAGCTAAATATTTTAAAAGTGCAATGTTTTGAAAAAAATTATTAATAGAAGCATGAATGTCCTTGAAGAGCTGAACATTTTGATACCCAAGGTATCATAGGTGAAGATATACTGAAGTTGAATTTTCCCATTCATTTGAATCAGGGTAAACTTTCAAAATAAAGCTAAATATTTCAAAGGTATGAAGTTTAGAAAAATTCTGAAGAGAACTATGAATGTCCTTGAAGAGCTGAACATTTTGATAGCTGAAAGTATGCTGAAGTAGAATTTTCCCATTCATTTGATAAATATTTCAAAAGTCTGAAGTTTGGAAAACTTCGGGGGGGGGAAGAAACAGAGCGAGGAGTTATTTAGGGGCATGTCCCAATTGCGCTACATTTTATGGACCACCAGATGGCACTCCAAGACTGTGTCATTGACTCAGCACATTGAGCTCCCATTGATTTGCATTGTAAAAAATAAAGCTGAAAAAATAAAAAACTATAAACGTTATAACAAAGAAAAATACAAGCAGGGATGTCCTTGAAGAGTTGAACAGATGGCCTGTATAGCTGAAAGTATGCTGGACTTGTATTAAATAATACATTTTCATATAATGAAAACTAGTACTTATATTTTTCAGTATACTGCAATATATGTATGGACCATGTATGGCTATATATTGAAAAGATTAAAAAAATATATTGCAATGGAGACAAAATCTGCACTATGTTTTTACATGCAATGGTTTTATTGAAACAAATGCATTCATTTCTCTTTCATCAGTTAACAGGAGCAGTCATCTCACTATATTATCTACAGCAGGGGTGCCCACACTTTTTTGCCTTGGGAGCTACTTTTCAAATAACCAAGTCAAAATGATCTACCTACAGTTAAAATACTAAACATATATTTATTTATAGATGGAGTATACCTTATGTAAACACAATATATGTTGGTGCACCTTGCATAACTGCATGAACCTTAAGGCACAATGCAGTTCAATACTTTTTTGGTCATTAGTTTACTCTGATGACGTGCACTGAATGGAATCAGCCAGGGCTGCATAGTCCGGACAGTAGCTGCTGGTAGCCAGCCTCAAGCAGACTTCCAAATAGTCATCAGTCATGGTGGAGCGGTATTTGGACTCTCACTCCATGTGAGAAAATGCTGACTCACACAAATAAGTAGAGCCAAATAATGCAGTCAATGGCACATTTCCTCATGTCTGGGTACTTTTCCTCTGTAAGTTCCAGAACTGTCTATTAGCCCTGGACTTTAGCTGAATGTCAGTCTGTAGTGTCAATATCTCATCCTCCACTCCAGACCAGTTCAGGCGAAACAGCGTTGCAATTTTTGATGCGAGTGAATCAACCTCAATATCTTCCCTAAATGGGTAGCACATAAATGTAGAGACTGGCTCAAGTGAGGCAAAGTCTTGAAAGCATTTGTCAAACTCTGATCGACAGTTGTCAATCTGCTTTGTGTAGCGCACAATGTCAAGTTGCGCACACACTTTCCGTTGTCTCTCCAGCTCTGATGCGAGGTTTTGGAAGTTCCCGAAAATGTTGCATTTTTCATTTGAAAGCATTAACTAAGCTCATTATATTGACACGAGATCTACCGACACTACCGATCGACCGGTCGATCACGAACGACATATTGGGCAGCCCTGATCTACACTTCTCATAAATGAAGATATGTATTACATAGGGAAAATTTGGACAATCTGGTGCCTTGTTAAAGTCATTTTGTCAACATGGTAGGAGGAAAATATTTTATACAGTATTTATACCTTAATGGATTCAGTGCTCACTTTCAGACTGTATACCTGTACAGATGTATTCTGTGCATACATTTACATTGTTCACTGTGGTCTGATTAATGCCTATGGAACTTTAAACCAGGTAACAGAGTGAAACAACAAGCTGCAACCATATATATAAATCAGTGGCCTTTGTCCATGGGCCAGATTTCAGAATAGTTTCCTTTCAACATTGTCTATAGTTTTTAAATGTGCCCTTTGACCCAGAAACCACAAAGCATTATACATAAAAGCAAAATACAGACATTTTTACCAGGAAACACCTACTTTGTCCTTAACTTTTCAGTCCTCCACACTGGATCTTGGAGGTATGCATGCATAAAAGATTGCATATTGAGGCAAATCAATAAGCATACATTTTTCTTTGAACATCGTAATATCAAATACCTGTTTCCTGCCCCGCAATACTCTTTTCAGACCTATTACATTTTCTACATCAATCAGTGTACTGTGTGATTTGTCATACTGTCTTCCGACAGCAAAGCATGTTTTGTTACCTTGTTACTCTACTATAATGTAATAGTAAACAGTGATTATGTGTCCATTCTGTAACAAAACAGTGGAACTGTTCCTTTTTACTACTCTGGTAAACTCCTGTGAGTAAAACAGTTTTCCTCTGATGAGAAGTCTACTGAATATTTTCACAACTGTATCCACAGTGACTGAAAGTTGCTCTCTCACTGCCAGTATCTCTTCACCAGTAAGTTTTTGTGAATAGTGCAAACCAAAGGTAACAACCTGATCTGCTACTCTTTCAAACTGCTTGGATGCACTCAGATTTAGCATTTTTTATTATTATTGATTTATTTATTGATTTATTGATTTATTCTTTCAAACATGCAGAACAGAACAATGAACAAATGACAATAACACACATGATTACACATATCCAACCAATGCTAATTCAAAATCAGTTTGCTTACACCTATTACATGTTTGAATGGAGTAGGAAGAAGTCAAACTTATCCAGTCCTACCCCATGACATCATATTATACAAAATCTATGCAACATTGGCTGCAAGCAATATCACTACATAGATAAAGCAGATTGTTACTTATTCGTGCATATATCTTGTATAACACATACATTTATATTTATATTTAAACTCCTTAATTCTGGTACTATTTTTCATGTCCACAGTTAAGTTATTCCATAGTTTGACCCCACTTATAGAAATACAAAATCTTTTTTTGGTTGTTCGTATAGCATGAACTTTTAAATTTAAATGTCCCCTTAAGTTATACCCCCCTTCCCTTTCACCAAATAGCTTTTGGATTCCACCAGGCAATAAATTGTTCCTGGCCTTATACATAAACACAGCAGTCTTATATCCCA